CTCACCTTTTATCTGTACATGGGCTGCATGCTGACTACCCCTCCAGTAAACCTCAGAGAAGATATGAAGTCAAATTGCATGCTACATTTAACAGTCGTTGTATTTTTCAAGAGAAAAGTTACTAATGAACAAGATAAAATGACTGACTTGTTTAAAAAAAGGATATAGTTTTCAATCTATGGCTTATGCGTTGTATGACTGAAATCTAAGATTCTAGGTGTATGTGTTTATATCTACTGTAATGTATAAATGATAGCAAAAAAAAAAGGAAGGAAAAATGTTGTTAAAGCATTTTCTGATAATACCCTAAGACTGGCTAAAAGAGGGATTAAAATTAGAGCAGAAAAGACAATGTTCGATGAAAGATATAGAGGCCTTCCATACTGTGCACACAAAAAGAATAAATTGAATGCTGTAAAAAAATTGAGGAAGGGAGGATTAATGAATGCAGGAACCTATTTTGTTCATTCAAATAGGATATTCTGGGTCAATGACTTCTTATTCTTGAACACAGAACCCAAGTTTGAGTCCTGGCTCTGAAAGGCATCTTGGTTGCTCTTAAGCTTGGGCACTTATGGATAAAGCTGCTAAAAACATCCATATGCAGATTTTTTGTGGATTTAAGTTTTCAGCTCCTTTGGGTAAATACCAAGGAGTGCGATTACTGAATGTAACATTTTGCATCCTTACCACTGTTGTGCCCAAGATTGCAAATCCGAGAAACCACCGAGGAGCCGACCCCGATGCAAGTACACGAGGGTTTATTAACAAGCTCGAGCTTGTGTCCAAGTACACCCGACACAGCGGAGCAGGGACTTGGACCCCGAGGTGGGTTTTAGCCTACTTTTAAGGGCTGGTCTAGGGGACCTCCAGAAGGGGGGGGGGATTTCTCAAGTTCTGTTTACATTCTGATATGGGACTTTCTGCCACGGGCATTGAGCTCTGTTCTCCTTCTAATATGGGGCTTAACTGAAGTAAGGTAAAGTTCAGCTCTTATTCACAGGGGCCTGAGATGGCTGTACTTATGCTAATGCTGAACTTAAGGTGGAATGGCCTTAATTTTCTTGGCCTCCACAACCATCAACGTATAAGAGTTCCTCTTGGTTCACATATTCACCAGCATTTGGTGGTGTCAGTGTTCCAGATTTTGGCCATTCAAATCAGTCTGAAGTGGTATCTCATTTTAATTTGCACTTCCCTTATGACATATAATATGGGGAGCATCTTTTCATATGTTTATCTGCCATCTGTATATCTTCTTTGGTAAAGTGTCTGTTAGGATCTTTGGCTCATTTTAAAAATCAGGTTGTTTGTTTTCTTATTGTTGAATTTCAAAGGTTCTTTGTATATTTTGGATGAGATTCCTTTATCAGATATATCTTTTGCAAATATTTTCACCCAGCCTGTAGCTTATCTTCTCATTCTCTTAGCACTGCTTTTCACAGTGCAGAGTTTTTTTTAATGTTAATGAAGTTCAGCCTTCAATTATTTCTTTCATGGATTGTGCTTTTTATGGATTGTGTTATATCGAAAGTCATTACCATACTCAAGGTTAACTAGGTTTTCTGTTATGTTATCTTTTAGAAGTTTTGTAGTTTTATGTATTACATTTAGTTCTATGACCTAGTTTTAGTTAATATTTGTGAAGGCTGTAAAGTCTATGTCCAATTTCCTTTTTTTTCTTTTTTGCATGTGAATGTCCAGATATTCCAGCACCATTTATTGAAAAGACTGTCTTTGCTTCATTTTATTGCCTCTGTTCCTTTGTTAAAGATCAGTTAACTATATTTATGTGAGTCTCCATTCTGTTCCATTCATCTATGTGTCTGTTCTTTCCCCAGTACTACCCTGTTTTGATTACTGGAGGTTTAGAGTAAGTCTTGAAGTTGAGTAGTATCAGTTCTCCAACTGTATTGAATTTTGTTCTGTATTATGTTGGCTATCCTGAGGGTTTTGCCTCTCTTTATACAGTTTATACAATTTTAGAATCAGTTTGTCAATATCTGCAAAATAACTTTCTGAGATTTTGAATAGAATTGCACTAAATCTATAGGTCAAATTGGGAGGGACTGGCATCTTGATACTATCAGGTCTTCCTATTTGTGAACATGGAATATTTCTTCATTTATCTAATTCTTTGATTTTTGTTCATCAGAGTTTTGTAGATTTTTCTCATATATTGTATGTATTTTATTAGATTTTTACCTAATTGTACATATTTTGTTAGATTCATACCTAATTATCTCATTTTGGGGGGTGCTAATATAAATGGCATTATCTTTTGAATTCCAAATTCTACTTGTTCATTACTGGTATTAGGAAGTGATTGACTTTTGTATATTATCCTTATGTCCTACAACCTTGCTATAATTGCTCATTAGTTCCAGGAGTGGTTTTTTTGTTTGTTTTGTTTTGTTGTTGTTTTTTTTTGTGGATTCTTTCACATCTTCTATATAGACAATCATGCCATCTGCAAAGACAGTTTTATTTCTTCCTTCCCAATCTGTATACCTTGTATTTCCTTTTCCTGCCCTATTGCATTAGCAACAACCTTCAGTAAAATGTTGCAAAGGAGTGGTGAGAGGGAACATCCTTGCTTTGTTAGAAAGGCACAACACAGTACAATGGAGCAGTCTTCCTCTGCCATCTCTTTTACCCTGAAGATATTAATAAATTATGGGACTTTCTTATTGAAGTTTAATGTTAACCATATCTAAGCAGTTTCATCAACATCATTGAAATGGCAATCACTCGAAATTCTCCTGAATTTCTTACAGGTACTAATGGAAATTAATCTGAAAATAAAAAGCTTTAAGTTTATCACCATGAAGTATGATATTAGCTGTAAATGTTTTTAGATATTCTTTGACAAGTTGAGAAAGTTTCCCTCTATTCCTAGTTCACTGAGAATTTTTTTTAATCATGAATGTATGATTTTTTTTTAAAATCATGAATGGATGTTGGATTTTTGTTAAAACCCTTTTTTTTCATCTATCAATATGACCTTATGATTTTTTTCTTTTAGTGTTTTGATGTGATACATTATATTAATTAACTTTTTAAAAAAGATTCATTTACCTATTTTAGAGAGAGAGCAAGCAGAAGGGTGGGGAGGAGCAGGAGAGAGAGAATCTCAAGCAGATGCCTCACCAAGCGTGGATTCCTGATGTGGGGCTTGATCCCACAACCCCAAGATCATAAACTGAGTCAAAATGAAGAGTCAGACACTTAACCAACTGAGCCACCTAGGCACCTCAGTATATTAATTGACTTTTGAATGCTGAACTAGTCTTTTATATTTGGGATAAATTGTACTTGGTTGTGTGTTTCTTTTTATACATTGTTGGATTCAATTTGCGATAGCTTGTTGTGAATTTTTGTATCTCTGTTCATGAGAAATACTGGTTTGTAGTTTTCTTGTAATTTTTTTGTCTGATTTTGGTGTTAGGGCAATGATGGTCTCATAGAATGTTAATGATTTCTGCTCTAACTCATTTATTTTCTTCTGCTTACATTGAGTTTAATTTGTTCTTCTTTTTTAATTTCCTAAAGCAGAATCTTATATTATTGATTATAGATCTTTCTTCTTTTCTAATATATAATTTGATGCTATTCATTTCCCTCTAAGCACCATTTCCATTGCTGTGTACGAATTTTGATAAGTTGTGTTTTCATTTTCATTTAGTTCAAACTATTTTAAATTTTGTTTGAGATTTCTTCTTTGGCCCTGTGTTGTTTAGAAGTGTGTTGTTTAATCGCCACAAATTTTCGTATTTTCCAGTGATCTTTCTGTCACTGGTTTCTAGTTTAATTACATTGTAGGCTAAGAATAGATAATGTTGATTCCTATTCTTTTAAATGTTTTAAAGTGTGTATTATATAAGATCCAGAATTTTGCTGCATTTTCCATGTGGCCTTGAGAAGAATGTGTATTCTACTATTGTTGGTTGAAGTACTCTAGATGTCAATCAATTCAGTTGATTGATATCAACTATGTCCTTACAGATTATTTTCTGCCTGCTGGATCTGTCAATTTCCAATAGAATGGTGTTGAAGCCTCCAACTATGATAATGGGTTTATCTGTTTCTCCTTGAAATCTATCAGGTTTTGTGTCATGTAATTTGATGCTTTGTTGATAGGCACACACACATTACGGATTTTGTCTTCTTGAAAAATTTTGTCTTCTTGAAAAATTCACTCCCTTATCAGTATGCAATGCCCATCTTTGTGCCTGATACCTTTTTTTGCTTTGAAGTCTGCTCTCTCTGAAATTAAAATAGCTACTTCTGCTTTCTTTTACTAATTATATTTTTAGAATTGTGGGTGTGCTATTATTACCAGTAGTACTAATCCAACTCTGGTCAGGGCTCATTTGAACACTTTTCATTATGTTCTATGAGAACATATGATGACATTTTAATTTAAAGAGGAGTATTGATCCCAGAAGAATCTGGGAGTTTTTGTTCTTCAATTCAAAAGGTAGAGTGTAAGTCATTTGGCAACTTTATATAAATAGCAGTATTCATTTCCACATCATCCTTCAAATGGATCTCCTCCACAGAGTGGCCCCTTTGCAGAAAGACTGTATCTATATTTTGATTTTTTTTCATTGTGCATATGAGTTTGGATGATTTAAATTCGGACTAGTACTTTCATCTCTTCTATCCTGATTGCTATCATTCCTCCTTTTCTTCACCCAAAAGAGTGGGCATTGATTGGTGGAAGAGAATAGGCCTCTATCTTGTATCTTCTTAGCTAGCAGGAGGGTAGCTGGGGGAGGTCCTTTTGAAATGCACACAACCATTATGGCTTTCTTTAGTCTTGAGATAGCTTTTAGCACTTGTTATCATTCCATTTGGATGAGTATGCCACATTTTTTAATGGGTATTTCAGTTTTACTCCAGTACACCAGGTTCATACACATTGGGAGAAATAATAGAGCATCTGGAAAATTCATCCTGATCTGTGCCTGTTTTCTCTCCCTCTCCTGTGTCCCTAGGTAAGTGTGAGATTGGCTGGGCCTACTATTGCACGGGAGCAGGTGCTGCCACCGCCATGCTGCTGTGCACATGGCTGGCTTGCTTCTCAGGCAAGAAACAGAAGCAGTACCCATACTGAGATGGAGCCACCAAGAATAAACAGAGGAGAAGATAAACCGAAGGGGTCTGGAGAGAACGAACATCCAGCTACTTTAAAAGGTGGAATAGTGGTTCTCTAATCCATACAGTGCAAATGAAATGAAACCCAGTGGTATGATAAACATTATGTAATGTCAGAGGGTTATGCAAGATTTACAAAAGAAATGGCGAACATGGAAAAATAGAGAAAAATGGACCAAAGGCTAAAAATATTGCAGGGTGTTGAGTATTTCTATTCCACAGAGTATTGTTAATGTAGATCACATACACACACAGAACAAACCTATATATGCAAACAAAAGCTTTGTTTTTTTTTTTTTTTTTTAAAAAAGACGAGGACTCAGAAAATTAAAAGGGCTAGTAGAAACAGTATTATGTTGGGAAGCAGGGTAACCCACAGATGTTCCCTGTAGGTCATGGCACTTCTGAAAGCACATAGAGTCGAGTCATGCGCATCCACACACATGCCCACACACAAACATAGACATTGTTGCACAGATTGTATGGGAGGTTTAGCAATGCATTACTCCTCTGTTTTCTTTTTAATGTACACTTAAAATACAGTATTATCACTTTATAAAGCATACATTAAACCTAATAAATGGACCAATAAGCCACTCTATCAGTATTTTGTATATCCTGCATATGCAGACATATAGAGTTAAGCCTTTGTATTTCAATATTATTCAAAAATATTCAAGATCTCTTTGAGTAGCTTCTGCTATGATATTCTTATGAAGTAAAGAGGCAACTTCCTATCCACTGTAGGAGAGAATTCAGTTGAAGGAGTGAGAGTAATGAGAGACATTTTCCATTCATTAGATCTTGCTTTCTTTTGTTCATTATTGTACTGTGCTGTACCACATTTATTTCAGTATTCATTTTGTATTAAAAAATTTTAAAGTGCTATTTTGTTTGTATTTGAAAAACTCTGTGAATAAATTCTCTTTGATCAATAAACGAGCCATGAAGTGTTAATTCAGACTGGATTTGCTTCTTTAATTTTCTAAATATAGTCTTTCAACTCCAACAGTCCTGTAAATTTTCCTTTTCCTCCTAAATCCTGCCATTAATTCTCTCTAATCACCCAACCAACCATTGTTTTAGGCATACAAGGTATTAAAGGTAAGAGTTCCAGCTTTCAACTTAAATTCTTTGCAACTAGAATTCTAACTACATTTAAATCATGACCAGATTCTCATGAGAGAAGAATTTCAAGTCTATTTTTGGATTGACTTTGAGAATCTGGACAATATTCGGACATGGCATAGGGCAAGGAGAGCCTGGGCAAAGTCTGGGCCAGCAGTGTCCAGGAATATGCCAGCGTCATGACAAGCCTCCTGTGACTTGCTGCCGCTCCACCTTCAAAAAGGCACTGGGTTTCCTTAGTACTTCTGAGCCAGGGACAACTTCACACCCCTCTCTTTTACGGCTCTTGGCCATTTGAGAAAAATTATCTCACATGTCTGCTCCCAGAATAAAGCTTCAACTGAAGTGAAGGATAAGGACATCACCCCGTAGCAGAACCTACACTTCCAGGAGCAAAGATTGCATCTTGGGTAATGGATGTATTATTTTCTTAGGCAACCCTGAGTTACAACAATCCAATCCTTAAAACTTCAGTGTCCATTAGTTTCTAAATTGTGTACTTTCTGAATGGTGGCATTGCACATTCTGGTTATTTATACGTGTAACTCTATTTTCTATTCTTTCTATCCATATTTATCAATTTAGTTTGAATATCTGAATGTCACATCTGTGTTGTGCCCAAGATTGCGAATCCAAGAAACCACCAAGGAGCCGACACCAATGCAAGTACACGAGGGTTTATCTACAAGCTCGAGCTTGGGTCCAAGTATACTCCATACAGCAGAGCAGGGACTTGGACCCCAAAGTGGGTTACAGCTGGGTTTTTTATGGGCTGGTCTAGGGGATCTTCAGAAGGGATGGAGGAATTTTTTCCATTCCAATATGGGGGAAAGTGTTGGGGAGTTTCTTAAGATGTGATATGGATTCTCTGCCAAGGGCATTCTGAGCTTTATTGTCTTTCCGATATGGGATTCCCTGCCAAGGACGTTCTGCAGTTTTTCCTGTAAAGTTCAGCTCTTATTCCCAGGGGCCTAAGATGGCTATACTTGTGCTAATGCTAAACTTGAGGTGGAATGGCCTTAATTTTTCTCGGCTTCCACAATCTGCTTCTGATACTTTTAATCACCTAGTGTGAGGATTTGTGCTGCCCTGGAAGAACAATACAAGAATCTAGCCAATGAAATTCTGGACTTTCTAAGGCTTTGTTGCCATGGAAAAAAATCATTCTGCTCTCAAATGCTTAATTCATAATGGGCTGAATGTCCTTTGACTGTGTCTCATTGTCCACTGAGCAGGGGCTTCTCCACTTTGTGGTTTCCTGAAGAGAGGAGATTACACTTTGCTTACTCAATGAACCCATCATTTTTATTGTTGCTGGTGCTTTTCAAATGTTTTTAACTACACCTTCCTGTCAGAATAGTATTATGATTTTCTAGCTCCCATTATCAAGTGGGATTCTCTATGGAATTCATTAAGATTATTTCTTGGACAGATTTAATGATGACATTGTCCTTTTTATGTGACCCATATGATTTTAGACATTAATGTACCTCACTAGAATAAAAAGCTGATTACTCCAACAGGATGCAGTCAAATGGCAAACACTTACATCTTGAGTTCTGACTAGTCATTTGTGTTTTGGGTTCAAGATGTCCCAGCATTTAATAAGGAGCATCTAATTTATTAAGAATTACCCAAAAAATCACATATACTTCCTTTCAAATAAAAACAGGATTCATGAAATAATAACAACAGCAATAGTAAAATCTGTGAAACGTGTCTATTCACAGACTGCTCATTGATGTACACTTACTTAGAGGCAGAACCCCTCCATTTTCACAACCTCATAAAGCTTTCCTCTCTTGTACATGCTTGTGAGGTAAGTGGGGAGATTTCCTTGTTTTCAGAAAATGATATGCAACACGCGAACTGATGAAATTGAACCAACTCTTCCAATTTTCAACACATTCATTTGTATATTGGGGTTATAAATGGTCCTTAAGCACCTGCTACTTGCTAGGTATTTGCTATACTTGCTAGGTATATGCTAGATATAAAGCAATCCATAAAACATGACTCCTGCTCTCAAGTTGGCCCCAAGCTTGTAGGGAAAAGGGAAGAAAAAAAAAATCAGTGATTTCCATATCCTATGATGCCAAATGACTCTCAAGAGGGGGATGGAGGAGAGGGCAGTTCCACCTGGGTAAAGAATTCTGCATAAATTAAAAAGGCATAGGAAAAAAAAAAGAGAAATTACAATTTCTGCTCTTCAAAAGACATTATTAAGAAAATGAAAAGGAGACTGGAAGTTATATGTCTGGCGAATAATAATAAAAAAATTAAGAAGTCAATTTTTTTAAGTGAATAACAACTTGAATGGGATATAGGACAAAAGAGGCTATACAAATGCCAATAATCATTTTGAAAAGGTGCTCAACATCATTGGTGAAGAAGAAAATGCAACTTACAGCCACAATGGAACACCACTTCACGTACACTAGAATGACCAAAATAAAAATGTTAACAACACCCAACATTACCAAGCATAGTGATGATGCATGGTTGGAAGACCATTAGGCAGTTTCTTACAAAGCTAACAAAACTAATTCCCCTCCGAGCTATTTACACCAAAAGACAAAAAACAAAACACTTCTGTCCACAAAAACATTGTATAAAAATGTACATTTCAGTTTGATACATAATAATCCCAAACTGGGAACAGCTCAAATATCTGCCAATAGATAGAGAAATTGTGATATATTTAAATAGTAGAATACTACTCCACAATAAAAAAAAAATGTACTTCAGATATACATGATGGCACAGATGAATCTCATATTATGTTGAACTAAAGAAGCCAGACATACAAGCAAAACTAATATATCATGATAGAAATCAGATCAATGGTTAACCTGAAGGCATTAACTGATGAGGACACAGGAGCTTCCTGGGGTGTTGGAAATTGTCCTATGTGTTGATTAGGATGATGGTTACAGTTGTGCACATTTTTCAGAATCCATCCATATGAGCAATTGAAGTCTGTGCCTTATCATATGCTAATCATAGATTGCTAAAAAGTGGGAGAAGGACCTTAAAGAGCTCTGGTGCTGCCTGCTGTCTCCTGAGGCTACAGTGAGGGTGCACTGGGGTATGGTGGGAGATGTGGTAGACATGAGATGGAAAAGGCAAGAAGTGCTTTGTAGGCCATGCTAAGAAGATTACAATTGATCCTGGAGGTAATGGAAGCATTTGATGTGGGAAGTGGGAAGGTGGGGCCTGACTACCTGGGTGGTTTACAAAGATCCCTGGAACTACTCTGGTGGTTCCTCACTGGATAGCAGAGGTGGAAAGAGGAACTGTTACAATGTATTCATCTTACCAACAAAGAGTTTTGAGCTCCTACTATGGTCTAAGTGCTTAGGACAAGGAGGTGAACAAATAGGTTGATGTCATCAGGTGAGAACCAAAATTAGTGCAAGTGGAGATGATGGGACAGATCAGAGAGAATAGGAGGATAGAATCAATAGATCTTTAGATGTAGAAAGTGGGAAGGATGAGAGCAGAGGTGGTTCTGATCTCTAGTGTGGAATGCCACACCAAGACACGATGTGAAAGAACATCAAAGTAATTAAGAACTCTTTATGTGTGAGGTGCCTGTGGGATATCCAGGGGGAGACGCCTAATGGATAGTTGAAAGTTAAGGTCTTAGGCTCAGGAGAAAGTTAGGATATAGAAATAACAAATATGGCAACATCAATGACTGTGCAAACATCAATAAGAAATGAATGCAGGAATGTTTTCACAATATTTAAAGCAGAAGCACATCAGCTACGATTTCCTTTGGCATAGGGTTGTTTTTTGTTTTTTGGTTTTGTGGTGTAACTTTTTAAAAAAAAGATATATTTATTTATTCATGAGAGAGAGAGAGGCGGAGACATAGGCAGAGGGAGAAGCAGGCTCCACGCAGGGAGCCCGACGTGGGACTCGACCCCAGGACCCCGGGATCAGGCCCTGAGCCAAAGGCAGACACTCAACCACTGAACCACCCAGGCGTCCCTGTAGTGTAATGTCTTAATCATAGACTACCATCAAAGATTTTAGGAATAGCTTTAATGTTTAAATAGTATATTAGCAGCATGCAATAATTACATCATAAGTTCTCTGGCAGAAGCAGTCTATTCCAAGAACGCTCTTTGCTATCGGTCATCTTAGTTTTTACGTTAGAAGACCGAACATACTGTAGAAATGCGATTTACTCAGTAATACTTGAGTGGTTTCAATATTTGATTATCCATTGGTTGTGACTAAAATATTCTTTACTCTAATTGATGGTCGTTGCTGTAACAGTATATTGCCTGTATATCGGCTTCTAGTAATGGACCTTATGTACTGGATTTTAATATCCTTGAGCCTGGACAAGTGCACAAGTTTTTTAAAAGAAACATCATTTACTTGCACAAAATTGATCAGTCTTGAATGATCATTAATGCCTTTGAAGTGGTTTTGTGGGTGTGAAACACGTGGTGAGAATTTGAATTGCCCCTCTTATTATAGTATTAAAATGATGTCTACTTAATTTATCAAGTCATGTGCATGCTCTGATTTTACATACTTGTATCTATCAATAAACCTTGTGATACTTGAAAAAAAAAAGTGAATGCAAGAGAAATCTTAGAGAACATCATCATCTAAAGGATAGGATCCAGGATCCCTGGGTGGCGCAGCGGTTTAGCGCCTGCCTTTGGCCCAGGGCGCGATCCTGGAGACCCGGATTGAATCCCACGTCGGGCTCCTGGTGCATGGAGCCTGCTTCTCCCTCTGCCTATGTCTCCGCCTCTCTCTCTCTCTCTCTCTCTCTCTCTCTGTGACTATCATAAATAAATAAAAAT